CGCGCAAGTACGAAGTACGGACTGACTGTGTTTACCCAGTAGTGCACTTTTCGGGACCGATTTCGCCAAAAGTTCGGGGAAACGGCGCGCGGAAACATTGAATTTATAGACGACTTTTAGTGCTTTTTGTCGCGTACAATAGTCCACGTGCAAGTACGTGTCCTAAATCAATTCGATATAGTCGGCCGATTCGGCGCACCCAATAATAGTGCACTTGAACCGTTGTAACGGACCCAGACGCGGGCTATATAAATTACTGTCGGGCATACTATTTGCGTGTTTTCGGCATTAGATACGGACGGAAATAGCGAGCGAAACCCGTCTAAAAAAAAAAAAAAGTCCACCGACGTTATTGAATTTCGAATTTTACCGAAATTCGAATTGTACGTTGTTCGTCCGACCTCCGACCGAGCAATGGAATTGGGGTTTGTGTTTGGCGGTGTAATCGTTTGTTCCGTGTGAAATCGACGCGGACGACGAATGCGACGCGGATATGCCACGGCATACCGTTCGGCAAGACTTATACGCGGTATACGCGGTATACGCGGTTGCTGTCCGGTAAGGCGCCAACCGTGTGTACTGCATATATAGAACAACGATTTTCGCGGAAAAAAATACTCGCGGTTTTACTCGAAATGTACTGTAAGGAAATTGTCCACGGCTCCGTCGCTCCCGTAAAAAAATTGACTGTTTTAATGCGTGTTTTATAAGCGTTATGTTTTATTTTTATTTATTCGTGCGCGTTTTTATACGATTTATTAAAGTTGAAAAAAAAAAAAAAAACCGAACGAACCGTTATATTGTTGTGACAGGATAACCGATGGCCGACGGAGCGCTACGGCAGTCATTTATTATTTTTGTTTTTTAGACGCGCACTACGCAAATCTTAGTTACCTTCCAATCGATAAAAAGATTTACGATTATATCTAAATAAAATAAAATAGATAAAAAAGTTTATTTCGACAACCGTCATCATAATTAATTATTATTTCCCCGCGATCGGTTCGGCGCGGAGCGTATTATCTTTCGCGTTGTTAAATAAAAAAAAAAAACTTTTAATTAAGTATTCCCGTTATAAAATAATATACGTATACATATTTTTATTTATTTATTTTTTTTTTTTCAGTTAAATAACCGTTTGAATTCTCCGCGCCGCATCGACGGTGAATTATTTCATTTCCGCGCGGCCATATGATGAAACAATTGATTCAGATATTCGACTTCGGTGGTAAACCGCGAATCGTTTTTGCTTTGCATCGCGTCGCCATTGCGCGCGCACGTTAACACGGCGCAAATGTCGTTCGCGATTAATACGCGCGATCGGCGGCGCGACCACGTCACAACGTTCGCAATCCGGCCGGGACCGTCGTCGTGTGCGGCGCTGGATCCGGACGGATTAAAACGCGCGCGCGAACGACGATCGACAGTAACACGGAGATCGTTTTATACTACGCGTTTTCGGGTGCGTCGCGCACACGCGTTCCGTTCCGTGTAAACTCTCGTTCCGGTATCTGTCGTTCGGCAATAGCGAAGTCTTCGCGCGTAAAACGCTCCGCGTTCCAATGCGGTACCCCGTACGAGTGTTCGGGCGCGCGTTCCCGGCATTCGGATCCGGACAGTCGAATCATCGCCGGATAACGGTAACCGATGAGAAGCGCGCGACAGGGGCGGGCGCGCTGATCAAGCGCCATAACCAATTCAAATAATTTCGGTACAGATATTTCCGTTGTGATTTTAAACGTCGGTTTTTTTTTTTTTTTTTTTTTTATGAAACCGTACAATGTATTTTTATTGACATAATACGTCGGTACATTTTGCCCGCTCGCTTGGTAAACCGAGGTTCGTTTTCGTATTGCAAACACGCCGTGAGCGGCGTACACGCGAATTCGTGTAAATACAACGGTTCGTTCGCCGCGATGTTTTAAATACGACGGGGACGAATGAAGATAAACATTTTTTATTTTTTTTCTGTTTTTCCGGCACGGATATACGAACGGAAACGCACTCGCGCGTCATAAACGATTCTCCCGGCGTCCGACCCGTCTTATTACATTATTCAAAAGGTCGTACATTTATCCGCAGACTCCGTAACGACAACATTATTATAACGACGATAAAACGATAATAATTGTCGTTACGCGCGGCGACGATAACATTCGACTGTCGCCGATATCCGCGGCGATTCCGAACCCGCTCACGTACAACCGTTGTTGCTGACGGTGTAGGCACGCCGGATAAGCGCGCCCGGGGACGAACACCGGCGGCGGCGGCGTTTGCGAATGCAAAGCGACGGTGTCGGCGGGGAACGCGAACCCCACTCGGCCGCCACTCGCCCCATCCACCCCGTCCGCCGCCCTGCGATACCGAACGAGACGTTTTGCCGTCGTCGCGGGACGCCGACAGTGAGAGCTTTGCGCGCCGCGCGTAAAATTTTAAATAAACCGGTCGACACGCGGCGTTTTACGGGCGCCGTACGCGTGACAGCTGATAAGCTCGCAATGGCCCCCGGCGAAACACCGCGTTACGGGCGCACGCGGCCGCGTATATTGTTCGGCGCCGCGACTCCCGAGTCCCGTGGGCCGGTTCGACGGGGACCGGGGGCCGCAGACGCGATCCGGGTTTGTCGCGCCGCGTAACGTGAACCGCCGGACCCGGCCGAGTTGTTGCGGCACACGCGCGAACGCGCGAAACGTCGCTCGTCCGTTTCGGGCAATAGGAAATAAACCCGTTTTCGGCACAGTTTTTGTTTTGTTTTTTTTTTTTTTTTTGCCCGGTTCCGCCGCGCGTTAGTACTCAAGCGGCGGAATGATTACCGAGCGAGTCGAGAGTTATCGGCGTTTCCGTTTCACCGCGTGTTTTCGGGCCGGTGTCGTAGCGCTGATCCCGAGATCAGCTCCCGCCAGACCGTTTCTTCCGAGTTCTTTGCGCGCGTTTTTCGCAGACAACGTCGATAAGAACAATAATATTGCCGGTTTTTCGAAAAACCAATTGGTCGCCACTGATGTGGATCTGCGTTATTGCAATAATTACTGTATACGCAACAGTTATTTGGATTTTGACGATGGTTCTAGTTTTTCAGAATGATTCAGATCCGTTTACTTTTCTATCAATCTCAAGGCCGTATCAAATATCGGTTCTGACATTCGAAATCGGCCTTTGGAATTCTGATGGTCGTAAATTTCAAAATTGTCGATTCTTTCGTCGAACGTTCTCGGGCGTCCGTGCGCTGCAACGATAACTATTTCATCGACTTCGTCCGAATCATCAAATATGATTCTGCGAGCCATTATCGCGAAAAGTTATAGGTACCGAAGTACTCGAAATGAAATAGTAGTTTCGGAAACGCAGACGAAAAAATTATAATAAATGATAGCACAAAGGTCTGCAGATATCGTGATTTTAACTAGCCGTTAACACTCAGAAATACCGGGTGTTAAAATATTCCGTTAAAACGTTTCCATTAACTTAGAGTCATCGCCTAACTGCAAGCGGTGAAATTGCTTTTTTTTCGTTAAATCCGGGTAGTAGTCGGTAACTCACAGTTTAACTCTCGACGGTGTTACCGGCCATCTGTGATGCGTACCCGGACGGGGTCGGGATCGCGCGAAACAAGTTGTTTAATAACAATAATGATAATTTGTTTGATAAAGTCGAACACTCGAATTTCGTCGGATCACGTTTCGCGATTTTGAAAACGAATATTTTCAACCCGTTTGTACATTTCCGTTTCAAACGCAATCTGTTCGGTTCAAAAAAGCCGAGAGCGGTCCGCGCCGTACGGGAACGCACCCGCCACCGTTGTGTACCCGGGCGGGAAGCAGGGAATGTACCTATTTCATTATATATGGGACGTATGTATAGGGCAATTTAGTTTACGTATACCGAGAGCGACGATAAATCGTCGAAATCAAAAGACGACTGTGAGCGGAGCTTGGAAAACTGGTAACGGCGTGATTAATTGCGTTTTATCCCGTTGTAGCCCGAAAATCGACAATAGTAAAACCGATGTATTGTCATTTGTTATCAGTAGGGTGCAGATTTAAATTCTCTAAAGAAAAATGCCTTAAAAAAATACAATTTAATTCACTTAAATAAAAAAAAAAGGTTAAACAAATGCTCCGAAAAATATTTTGCACGTTGAAAAAAACGTTTTTTATCGGGTGTATAAATTTACTAAACACAGCTACATTACAACTCGATAAATAGCTTTTTAATAACAGAAATATTAATATTTTCCTTTTAGGAAAAAATCGAAATAAATTTTATCAAATTTTCTGTTAATACTAAAAAGTTCCTAAAAAGAAGAAAAAATGCCTGAAAAACCTAAAAATGCACATCAAATGTCAAAAAATGCATTAAAAATAAAAAAATTCTAAAAAAGCAAAAATACATTTAAAACTATAAAAATTGTATATTTTAATTCTTTGACATACGAAACGAATTTTGTGCTTGAATAGCATTTAGGACATCCAGAAAAAAATATGATTTTCACTATAATCCACACCCTAATTATCGGAGTTTTTTTTTAGGGGGAATTACCAAATGTGTTTCAAATAAACCACTAGCAAATGATCCGCGTTGGCATTTAGCGATATTTTTGTCAACTGATTCAAAAAGACTCGGATATGTTATTTAATTATAAATACTTACTTTTAGTCTCGAAATTATTACGGTTTATTCGGTGATTTTTTAAATTATTTATATGAATATATTTTAGACGCACACAATCTGGTTTGTAATATTTTCAATGTTTTATTGTTTGTTTTGTTATTGGTCGCAATGGAGTTAGGTATATATTGATGTTGTATAATAATATTGTAGTTACCAAAACGTACCGTTTTGAAAATACATAATTTCATATTTTAATTTTGTTTTAGCAGTGTAGAATAACCGATAGTAATTCAAACCAGTTGTTCCGTGGACCTGTTCAATAAACCTATACCGCCTGCGTTCGAGAGATTCGCATTGACACTGTCTGTTCGAACGTAACAATTATTGAAATGGACTCCGTAAGTATACAAATCGTCGGTTAAAACGAAACGCCCGAATCGCGTTATATTATGTACCTAACCTGGGCGTTTAGGAAAAGAAAAAGGAAGACTGCAAATGCTACGGCAATTCAAAATGCGACGTCAAGGCGGAAGAGTCGAAAGCGGCGCCGAAAAAGAGCTGTTGCCCGTGTCCGTGTCCCGTTCAAAAGTGCAAAGTAACGTTAAAGACGGTGGAAAAATTGGTCGAGGCCGAAAACAAAGACATCGAACTGACCCAGCTCCTTAGCGGCATCACGATACTGGACGAGCGCAGACCGAAAATTAACATTGTCAACCCTTACGACGCCACGTCCAAGAGCACCAGGGAAGAACCAGTGAGTAATCGCATGTTGATGCCCAAATTATTATTTTATAGTTTTCGATAAAATCATCTGCGACACGCATTGCTCGCAGAAAAAGGACGTGGATCCGGAATACTTGGCGTACATGATGAAAACTATCGAGAACGGATTGAGCATGAAGTCCGATCCGATCGAAGTGTACGAACACCTGTTCGCCAAAGGTAATCTGGACGCTCCTCTCGTGGCGCTCGGCCCCACCGCCGCCATGTCCAACGAAGTAAGTGTCATAAGTCATACACGAATATTTCCGTCCGAAGTCTAAACAAAATTATATTTTCCATCCGACGGTATAACCATAACAATAAATTTAGGGCTCGGCACTTTGTGCGCTCAAAATCCTGAATAAAAGCAATAAAATAAGAAAAAAACGCCTCGGTTGTTTTCGCAATCGAAAGTTTTTTTTTTTTTTTCAGAGCTCTTTTGACGTTTTTAAGCTATTTTTTTCTCAGTGGATTTCAAACGCATTATTAAGTGCCGAGCGCTAAATCGACAACGATTAATCGCGCGCGCCCGTATCTCTTAACGTTTTGTCGGTTTCCCGCGCAGAATATGGTCGTGCCTCTGTCGCCGCCGACCGTCGTCAACGTCATGGACCCGGAACTCGAGAAAGGAGCGCGTCTCGACACCATCATTCCCAAGATGAACGTGGCCGTGGCCGAGGCGTCCACTCTCGGCAGCGTGGACGAGCTGCAGGTTTTGCTGGGCGGCAGCGCGCTCAACGAACAGGTGCAGTCCAAGGTCGACGCGGACGCGCGGGAAGCCAGGGAACTGATGTTGGAAACGCGTGAGCCCATCCAATCGGTGGCCGTGATCAGGGGGTCGACGGCGCCCAACTGGTTCCCGGGATATAACGTGGCGTTGCCGAACACCGGACTTCCGGCCGTCATGACCGACCCGGAAGCCGTCCTGGAAGAAGCGTGGATACACAGTCAGCCCCTGTTGTTGAAACTGGAAGAGAAGAGCGCCAAACTCATTGGGCTGTAATATTGAGGACAAAACCGTGTTTTGTTGCGATTCGATGATTAAAGACGATTTAACAATATGTAAAAGAGCGATTTTTTTTTTTTTTTTCTGTAGATCCCGAGTGTAGCGAAGGAACTATTGTACAGTTTTACTTAGACGTACGTGTTTTTCATACCGGAAAACACTTTTGAAGTCGGTAGTTTTTTTTTTCTTTTTCTAATATTATCTAATATAGATAATCGCGAAAATACATAATGAAATGCATTTTAAACGCGTATAGAAAAATCGATTAAAAACCCTTGTTTTCAAGTTTAAAACTGTATCTCCCCGTACAGAACGGGACATTTTTTGAAACAATTCGATAAACATCAAAGTCGTTTGAACAAAAAAACAAAATAAAAAATAGAACTTCGGTATTGTTGTTGGAAAAAAAAACAGCTATTTTCGTTTAAGAAAACGTAAGTTTTGCCGGCTGCACACCGCAAGGGTTAAACATTTGCGAAATTGGCCCGCGAATTTATTGGTACCCTCGAACTTTTCGAAAGGAAACCGTCCATTTCAATTTGTGTCCATACGACGTGGCCGAAATATTCCGCGTTATACCGTTCGAGCGATAATATATTATTATTTATAACACACACTGTACAGGATCCGGCGATTTCCTCGGAGTATTTTAAGTGAATTCGATTTCTGGTTTTTCGATCATTACGCCGTCGCTCGGGCATTATTTCAACACGGTTTACAAACTTCTACCCCGTGTGTACCTTGTAACACTTTGAATTTTAAAACGGCATCGCACCGTCTACAGATTCGAAAAGCGAATGTCTTTCATGTACGCTTCGTGAAACGCTAATGACACTATAATATCGGATGTACCGTTTATAAGTTATGAACGGTGTGGAATTCGAACCGGAAGAGCAGGGAAGGACAATATCCGGAGCTCGGGACTCGTATGCACGTAAAATTCACTAAAAAGTGATCAAAAACGTCAAAAAAATGATTAAAAAAAAAAAAAAAATTGGTACCTAATATGTTTTTAAAAAAGTCCTTCCTCTAACGGCTGTGACTAATTAAATACAATTTTCCAACCCTAAACAAATGATTGACACGAGTTTTCAAATGAAATTGTACAAGTATTACAAAAAAAAAAAATATTTTGTGTTGATCGTTTTTACGTAAATTGCATTTAATGCTCATGACCGTTACGGTGGGTAGGGGTGGAAATGTTAAACCCCTCTGAGCCCCCAGTCTCTTTTGTTTTTTAAATGTTTTTGCGGAGATCTTCGGACGGTTTTATGCCGTTCTCGCTATAGACATTAAACGCACAGTGTCCCGAGCCCTGGTAATTTTATTGCCGCGCGTCGATAACGATCGGGAGGACCGCGGAAATCAAAATCCACTCGGAAGCGTCCCGGCGGACAAAAGAGGATCGCCCTGTATAACACGCGCGCGCGTGTATAATAATAATAACGACGCGCGTTATGCCGTTGTAAAGAATATTATGATTATAATTTGCATGAAACGTTTGTTGTTTCGGCTACCGTCTCCCGTTGTCGCGTTACCGAAATGCGTGCGCGCGTCGACCGTAACGCGCGTCGTAACGTGACGCGGCGTTTTCGCGATTTTCCCGGACCGAGTCGCGGCTCACCATCACTCACTCACTCTCACTGTCTCTCTCTCTCTCTCTCTCTCTCTCTCTCTCTCTCTCTCTCTCTTTCACTCTCTCTCGCTCTCACGTATACAACGCAACGGCACCGATACGACAATAACGGCGGCGGCGCAAACTACAATAATAATGACGACGACGACGATGATAACAATAATAATGATAACTCGGTTGTTGTCGGCCCGGACCCGAACGCGTTCCCGGACAATCGGGGCGGACGTAACGCGCCGAATATTAAAAACAAATGGTAATCGCGTTGTCGTCCACGCGCGCGTACACGGCGCAATACTGTCGCAGTGGCGTTGCGTTACCGCGGGCGCATACGCCGGACGTCGACCGGCGCCGCCGATCGGATGCCCGACGTTTCGCGGCCTAACGGGAACCGTTGCATTGCGGTTATCATCATTGTCGTTCGGCTTTTCGGCTTTCCGGCGGAATACCGGTTAAACGGGTGTCGCGCGCGTAACCGTTCGGATCGGCGACGGCCGCGCCGCCGCACCCTCCCACCGCCCGCCCATCGCGACTGCCGCCCGTGCGGCTGCGTAACGGCGCGACGTCATATCGCGCGACGCGGCGCGGCAACGGCGGCCGGTAGTGTAAACGGCGAATGGCAAATGATTATTATCGCCGGGCGGTAAAAATTTTGTAGGAAGACGCGATTTTTATTTTTTTTTGTTCGTGCTAATTGTGAAACGTGACTTACCGAGTCGCATTGTTTGAATTGCGTAACAATACAAATCCGTTTGCGAAATTTCTATTTTGCATTTTTCGACGTTTTTAATTTTTAAGGCTATTTTTTGGAATTTCCGAGTGATATTTTCCATTATTTTCCATCATTTCCCGGCGTTTTCAATCAAATTCCGCGGACAGCTAACATCTTTACACGCATGTTTTTTCAATTTTATGCACAGGCTGTATGTTGGGTTGGTCGAAATTTATATAGAATTGAAATTATCTTGAGAAATTAAAAATGAGTACTCCCCCCCCCAATTTTTTTAATTGATATGAAAAAATAATTTTGTGAAAATATGGATTTGATAACTCATCCCCTTCTCGTGCCGAAATAGGGTTGAATTATTATGACATAATGATTTTCATTTTTTGGATTATTTTGAATTATTTTAGATAAGTTTATATTTTATTTATTTATTTACAAACAAGATATAACGAAATAGGTCCTGTTTTATTATAATATTCAATCTTCAGCTAATTTTAAAAAAATAAAATTTGTTTTCAAAAACTGAAAAACAACCCCATTTTCAGCTTTTTTTCGATTACTTGGAAAAATAAAAAATATTATGAAAACAATTTTTTTTTAAAAAATTTTTATAATGAAATAGGACCAATTTCGCTGTATTTTCTTTATAAATAAATAAATAAAAAATTCAATTATCAAAAATACTTCGAAATAATCGAAAAAAAAAACCGAGAACAACACTCTTGTTCCATGATTCAACCCTATTTAGGCACGGGAAGGGGATGAGTCCATATTTTTATAACAATTCTTTTTTCATATCCATTTTAAAAAAAATGGGGGGGGAGTACTCATATTGAATTTCGTAAGTAAGTCTTTCTGGACTATCCTTCATACAGTGTATATACGTCAAATTTATATTTTATAAAATAATATTTTACACAAGCTGTATACGGGTCAGGTAAATAAAACGATTCGATAAAATAAGGCGATATTTCTTGGATTAGTTATTTGTGGGCTCGCGATGTACCGATATCAGTAATATCAATAATATCAAAATAAATATAAAATTTAAATTGAAAACCATTTGAAATAGATTTTATATATCATTCTTTGAGACTTTAAATGCGTATTCTATCCCATTTGTCGCGCATGTCTCGTGTATTTTTAAGGTTTTTCACTGCATTCAATTCACAGCCCTAATTATTATTATTATTATTATTGTGACGTTCGGTGTTCGAAAACCGTATCGGAAGGCGGATATAATTTATTTCGGGTACTTATATGTCATGTCAGAGACGTTATTTTACGCAGAAGGTTTTTTTTTTTTTTTTTATAAGATTTCACTTCGTGTATTCCTTAGTTGTTTGCTGTAATATGTCTGGCGAAAATATAGTATAGTTTAAGGTAACCGTAAAGATAAAACGAAAATACGGGACACTAAATATAAACAAATTAAAAGTGATGTAAGTATATTGAGTATAATAAGCGGGGCTCGGGACTTTATGCGTTTAAAATCCACAGAAAAGCGCTTAAAAACGTCAAAAAAGCCTAAAAAAAAAAAAAAAAAAAAAAAAAAAAAAACTAGGAAGTAATAATGACCCAGGGCTCAGAGAGGATTAAAATTTCCACATCCGTCGCACGGCGCTAACCGATTGATGCAAATTTCTAACGCTACAAAAACGATTAACGCAAAATATTTTGTTTTAACAATACGCACAACAATTTTATTTGAAAACTTGTATTTATCATTTTGTGTAGCATTCGAAAATCGTATTAATTATTATAAATCACAGCCGTTAGAGAGGCGATTTTTAAAAACATACTGTCATTTTTTTTTTTTTTTTTTTTTAAATGCGTTTTCAATGTTTTTTTGGCGTTTTCGATTGCTTTTTTGTGGCGTTTCAAGTGCATATAGTCCCGAGCCCTGAATAAATAGGTAAACCAAACTATTACAAAAACAAAATAAACGCGAGCTATATAAAGGTTTTTGAGTACCTACAAATAAAACATGTGCCTATATATACGCAAAGACGATTTTATTTTCATTGATGGCAGTTGATCGATTTCTTCTACTAACGGTTGTGTACTAATAAATACTAGCCGTTTTACCAATAGTTTTCTTTCCGGTTTTACACGATTATTTTGAAAACAGCTCGGAAAACCGAAAAATTACCTCTCTAATGCACCGACTAGAGAACATTTCCTTTCGGAAAAGGCACTACATACTTTATACACGTCGGAGCGAGATTTTTTCCCGAAAAGTTGTTTACGGACGGAAAAAAAAATACACATCATATTATAGTAAAACCAATAGATCGCTCGCTACGCTCCGAATCTAAAATACAATATACACGCGTAGGTACATAAATCGATCGAGTGTATATAGTGGACCGGGTAAATGCGATAGAACAAAATTGAATTCAAGGCGATCATAAATTACACTTACTAGCGAAATAAAGTTTTAAATGTGCAGCGCGTGTCAATCGAGTAGTCGAAATAGAAACTTTTATTATTGTCTTTATATTTGCCTAAAAATAACGACCGTAACGTGTTTTGTTTGTATAAGAGGAAAAAAGCAAATCGTACAAATTGTACGCTACGAGTAGGCCGCTATCGCGGGCTTAGGAGTCGGAAAGCTGTGTGCTTGCGGGATATAGT